TCAAGGTGTCATGACAAAGACATCTTAAACAATGTCATATTTGCCTTCAAAATGTCATTATTGAGCGAAAGACACTTAATGACAGTTTTCATAAACGTGCACAAACCTTACTTCATATGGAAGACATATGTCATGTCATGGTTATGAAGGTGTCATGTCAGTCTTATGCACACCCCTTCAAGTAAAGTGTTACCAAAATCTCTCCAGATGACATAGCGTTATGACATACTGGGCTGCTGAACTGTATCCAGACATCATTGCAGTGCTCATGCCAGCTGGAATTGTTACTAGTTAACGGTTGTAACAGCTTTCCTGCTCTGTGTGAAAAGGAGCAGACCTGACCTCCTCGGTGCTAACTGCCTGTGCCTGTGAGTGCTGAAATTGTAATTGGTCTTGAGCAGAAGTTTAATCAGCCAGCAGGGCGGGAAAAACTGATCCTGCCAAGACTTGTTAAACTCTGAACAGCCAGCAGCCATATCACCCTGAGTCTGATTAGTACCTGAATGGGAGACCTCCTGAGAAAAACAGGTATCTGCTGGAAGAGGTGTTCGTGAGGCCAGCAGGGGGTGCTCACCCTGTGGTCTGTGTGGGTCGTAATGCCCCAGTGTAGTGACCAGGACAGTACACTGTCAAAAAGCACCGTCCATCGGATGGGATGTTAAACTGAGGTCCTGACTCTCTGTGGTCATTAAAAATCCCATCAGTTCACCCCCAAATTTGCCCCTTGGGCTCTGTCCATCATGGCATCCTAATCATATACTGATTGGCTTGTGCTGTGCGTCTGGCGCAATATGTCTGCCGTAGCATCATCCAGATAGATGCTGCCCATTGGTGGTGGTTGAGGAGATTCCCCCTACCATGTAAAGCACTTTGAGTACCCAAAAAAGTGCTATATAAATGTAACAAATTATTAATTATTGTAAACCAAACTCTCTAGTTGAATCTTATAGCCTTAAGAGAATTTGACATTTTTTTTTTTTTTTAATAATCACATTGGGAAATAAATGTTTTTCTCCAAAACACATTGGCCACAATTATTGGCACCCCTCTGTTTTTTTTTGTTATGAGTAAAATATCTCTGTAGTATGTTGCCATTAATATTTGCATTGTTTTAGCACACTAGGGTGACTAGGAGCATGACATTGTCTAGCTATGACATTGTTTCACAGTATAAACATGAGGAAACATGAAGGCCAAATTCCATTAATCATCCATCAAAATGAGTAAAACCAAATAATATAGTTCCGATGTGCAACAAAAGATTGTTGAGCTTCACAAAATATAAAGTGGCTGTAAGTTCCTATTTCCACCATTGTCCTATTTCAACCAACTAAAGATGTTACGAATCTGCCTGGAAGAGGACGTGTCTATATCGTCCTAATGCACGGCGAGGAGGAAAGTTTGAGTGGCCAAAGACTGTCCAAGGATCACAGATGAAGAATTGCAGAGATTAGTTGATTCTTTGGGTCAGAAAGCCTCAATAAAACTCAAACACATGTTGTTTGGGAGGGTTTCAAGAAAAATCTGCCTTTCTCATCCAAAATCAAACTCCAGCATATTCAGTTGTCAGACACGACTGGAACTTCAAAAGTGTCCAGATTCTATGGTCAGATGAAACTTAAAAAATAGTTTTTTGGCAGTAAACCCACCAGATGGGTTTGGTGCAAACAGGGATAAAACTTACCGCATGTCCACGGTTAAATATACCGCTGGATCTTTAATGTTGTGGGCCTATTTTCCTGCCGAAGGTCCTGGACATCTTGTTAATACTAACAGATAAAACACAATCAAAAGCTCTGCTGGAAATCTTGTAATGTGCCATGCTTGGATCATCCATCAGGACATAAAACAAACATCAAACCCAAAATCTGTCACTGAGCACAAAATGAAGCTTCTGCCATGACCATCCCTGATGAGTGTGCTGAGCTGGAGAGAAGAAGCACCAACATGGATGTGGGAATCTGAAGGATCTGGAGAGATTCTGATTCTCTGATCTCTCGTCAGGTGTTCTCCAAACTCATCAGGCATTATAGAAGAAGACTCAGAGCTGTTATCTTGGCAAAAGGAGGCTACGAAAAGTATTTAATCAATTATGCACAATGTGTTTTGGAGAAAAGCTTTTATTTCGTAATGTTATTTACCCTCACTTTCAATTCTTTGGTGAATTTTTTTGAATGGAATATCAAAAGTATAAACTATACAGATTTTTTTTTTTTTTACAGCCATCTTAGATCATATATACTGCTGCCTATGTCTACCTTATAAAATTCTCCTCAAGCACTCGGCTCCCCCAAAAGGGGGGACATTTTCAGGGCAATTTGTTGTGCGTCTATGAAGAAAACGATGGCCGTGTAAAAGGTTTAGCTCATAACTGCACTGTGACAGATGATAAATACTTAATCCCTCATCCTCGTCCTAGTGCTTTTTTTGTTGTTGTTGATAAAATGGTCACGTTAGTGTAGTTAGTTCTTGTAAACTCTGTTTGTTCCTCATCTGTTCCACGCCACTCCTCTAAACTGTCTATAAAACCATGTTACAGTAAAATGATTAATTATCTCTTTTGTTTTCTAAAGAGGACTTTGTTACTAACTAATGTGTTTTACATGCCTGTCATATTAATTTCTTTTTAGAGCAGTTTCTTTTGTGATTTGTCCTGTTGTTGACCTGCACTTTTGATTGTAACGATTTTGAGGATTTGGTTTTAAATCTACACGCTCATCTCAGTTCTTTATATCAGTCTTTCCTTATTTCCCTTTCCCCTTCAAATCCTATACATTTATCTCTGTTGATACGGTTAAAACTTACAATACTAAGCAAAGTTTTGGGGTAAATAAGAAATGTTGCTTGAGTAAAAGTACCAGTCAATCATTGAGTGCACTTTTCTGTAGCTAGTAGAATCTAGCTCAGAAATGTAAGGAAGTTTATTTAAATGTTGGAGGATGATTTTTTTATAGGCGGTTATGAAGTTCTGTTTTGGTAAACACAGCAAACACTTGAAGCAAAACTAGAAAAAATTGTTCAGAAAATTGAAATAGTTTTGCAAGGTGGGGCCACGGGTTGATACATTCCCGGGATCCCTTTCCTTCATCCATTGTTTCGTCCATGGTTTCGTCTCTTATCTAAATCTGACCATGGAGTTGACTTTGGCAGAAAGCTGAAGTTGATTACTAATAGGCTGTCCCAGTCAGTGGCACCTGCACAATCCAATCACGTTTGAGAGGGAAACAACAAATTGAGGGTTTCTGAGATTTTTATTTTTCCTTTTTTATTTATTTATTTTTATTAGAAGTAATGGGTATTCATGGTTATGGATCGAAATGTAGTGGAGTAAAGAGAACAATATTTGCCTCTCAAGTGTACTGGAGTAAAGTCATGAGTACCCCCAAACAATTATACTCGAGTAAAGTACAGATCCCTCAAAATTGTACTTAAAAGTACTGTACAAAAGTAAATGTACTCCGGCAACTCTGGCAGCATGTGACACTGAAGTAATGGTTGCTGAAAATTCAGCTTGCCATCAGAATAAATGACATGTTGAAACGTTAAATAGAAACTTGTTATTTTACATTTTAATAATGTTTCACAGTATTATTGTTTTGAAAGAGAAGAGAAAAGTATTTCAAATGATTGCCGACACAAAACGTTTGAATGGTAGTGTAAATTTTATGTCTTTTTATTTGCACACATTTTTGTTTTCCTATACGTAGCGCTCTTAGATGTGTTGTGTTGTATTTCAGGTTAGGTTTAGTGTAAAGTCCATATCATTCTGTTTCCCAAAGGGTCTTTTATAGTGAGGGAAGCTCTCCAGCTCATTAGACCATGGCTGTTAGAGCAGCTTCTGAAAGCCCTGTCTGATTTTGCACCTCAGCTTACTGCACCTGGGTGTCTGTGGGCCGTAATGGGCAGACAGCAGAGTGCAGGGGGAAACTGCGTAATAGATATTTATGTCTGCATTACGTCTTCTTGAGTTCAGGTCATAACAGGCAAATCTAATATGTTAGTCAGACCCAGGATCGACCCTCTACTCGGAAATGGACCTCTAAGTGTACTGCTTGGCCAAAGCCTTCCCTCTTCCCTTCTGTAATTATGGTGACAAGGCTGAGCGCTGGAGAGGACAGCCTGACATTTTATTGTTTACCTCAAAGAAGTTTTGTTGCAGGTAGAAACCGGTATTAAATTCAGTGGCGAGTGTGTTGTCTTATTTGCTAAGTGCCCGGAGTGTAATATGGTTTATTTAACCATTGATGCACTCTTAGCGGAAGAAGTTGTTGCAGATATATGAGATTCCTGAGGCAAAGCTTAACTGCTATTGTCTAGATCAGATGTAGAATCATACAGAATCCTGTTAAGCAACCTTGAGCTCGGAAAGGCGCTATATGGGCTAAATAAAACAACTTTTTTAAAACAACGATTTATTAAATATCGCTTGTATGTTAAACTTTCGCCTGTTTTTTGCCTATTATTTTTTAATCTGCTGACCTCTAACCTAACAAGAATATGCACTGTTGGTTTGATCAGTATGAGTAGGGCCCATGTTATTAATTTTCCTGTTCTGCTTGACTGTTCAAGACTTGGGTTTGCATACTGAGATGCCACGTAAACCACAACTAAACACAACAGTGTCTTTAGTTGAATGCTGTTAGATTATCCTTGTTCTTGTAATCTGCTGTTGTGGTTAGATATACAGTACACTACAGTTCAAAGGTTTGGGGTTGGTAAGCTTTATTAATATCTTTATTATTATTTTATTTATTATTAATAAAGTCTCTTTTCTGCATTTTATTAGTACAACAGTAATAGTGTGGAATGTTATTACTATTTAAAATGTTCTATTTTATAAACCATGATATATTTAGAAACCAAACATTTGAACAGTAGTGTAAGGAATTTGCATAATCAACCTATTTACATGGAAATATTGACTGACTGAGAATTTTTTTAATTGCTGTATGAGTAATATATGACTGAATGTTTGTTTTTTGCGTGTGTTTTTTTTTAAGGTGCTGTAATTGGGGATGGTCAATCTGCAGTAGCCAGCAACATCGCTAACACAACTTATCGCCTGCAATGGTGGGACTTCACCAAATTCGACTTGCCCGAGATCAGTAATGGTGAGTGTTTGAAGGGATGTATCATAGCCATTAATGATAAACAGATGCATTATCAGAGATTGTGGGGGAATCAATACATTGGCACATCGCCGTAAATCGCGCTGATTAAATCTGACAATCGCTTATCTCAATCTCAATCGCAAAACCATGCAAATTATACTTTGTTCTCAAATTGTTAAAGTTAACAATGTCAGCATGTCATGGTAGTGATGTCATGGTACCAAAATTCCAGCAGTCGGTACCGATACCATTAAAATGTTATGGTTCTGTGTACCAATTTCGGTACCACAGCAAAATCAGTTTGAAAAAAAAAATCAATTCAATTCAATGACTATTATTTATCGTGGTAAATTTATGAAAGCATTAAAGGCTACATGCTGTTTAAACAAAAATATTGATGATATTGAGAAATATTGCTTATAAAAAAATCATGTTAAAAATAAGCAACCTTATATGCACACATTATTATTCTTAGTAGTAGTATTTTTAATTAATGGAGACATAGTTAAATCTATTGTAAAGTAGCCTAATATAATTATTTCTGTCAATTTCTTCAAGTTAAACCAAACTTTTATGTTGACGGGTTGCCGTGAAGACCTTTGAGTTTCTGTGCGTGTATAATGCAGGGCTGCCAACTCTCACGCATTGAGCCAATTCTCACGCCACACCCCAGATTTCTCACGCCTAAGTGTTAAGCCTGTTGGTAAAATGCCTGAAAGATGAGTTTATCTATGGATCCACCAGTTGAGCCACTCGTGATCGACAAGTTTTACCACAAATTAGTTAAAATATCCTCTAATCTAGAGCGAGCGTGCTTGCGAGACAGATGTTGAGCTCCTAAGGGCGCGGATGCAAAGCCAGGACTGGAGCCAAAGCACATTCCTCTCTGCACTCTGTGTACACTCAAGTGTTCTGTTATCACTCCGCTTCTGTCCACTACGGGTTTTCCAGTCTTACTCACAGGAAAAAATCGATTTTAAAAGATATTATCTTTTAAAGATATTATATTTTAAAAGATAAGATCTTATATTTTATTTTTTATATATATATATATGAAAAACTGCTCCGTGTTCAATCGATTTTAAAAGTTAATCTTATGTTTTATTTTTTTATATATCCCAAACGTCTGAATTTATAATACTATACGCAATGGCTTGGAAAGTATTCTACACACAAGCAAGTGCACCCAGGTAAAAAGAACAATTTTTCAAATTCTACGAACATTTTGCCAACAGTTAATAATAATAAATATTATTATTATTATTATATATATGCCCACACGCACAACGGCAGAGAGCTAAGCGAGCGAAAGACCTTGAATGTCTTTCACAGCAGCATTCACCTCCAGCATCCTCACACACAATAGCCTACTAGCCGAGACTCTTCTTTATGTGTACAGATGTGACGTAATGAGGCAATCCACCAGTACCACTGGAATTAAAAACATTATTACAAACTTACCGCTTTCAATCGAGCTAAGGCAAGCAGAGAGTTTTGAACACTGGCTGGTTATGTATTTTCTCAAATATGCATTTTGGATATTTTTTTAACCCCAAAAAAGCTACAGACTGCAGCTTTAATTTTCTTTATTTCACACAAAAAACATTTGAGCATTTTTAATCAAAAAAAAAATTGATTCCCTGAAATATAATCTGATTGAATTGTGAAACCCTGTTTACAGTGGTGTATTTTGTGGGATTTTCCAGAAAGGCACGTGTTTTTTCTGAGATTTCTTTTTTGCCATGTGCCCATCCACCTGAACAGAAACACAAAATGCTTCAAATTACCCACAGCGTTGAAGAAATGGTAGTGAGGGGAAAGGCTGTTCGTGATAGAGTAGCTGTAGAGAAAGGTAATAGTGAGCACTCCACTGAGCACTAGAAGTGCTGCTGATGGAGGGCAGATGCCATGGACTGGAGAGGAAATTGGTCACATATTAGAGTTATTTTCTTCCCCGCCTCTCTCTTTCTTTCTCTGTCACGATAAGCATTACTGGAAGCTCTTGGCGATTACCCAGGGCTAATTACAAGATTGTAGAGTGATTCTTGTTATCTGGGCTTGATCTCACACCTGGCAGCACTTAGGCAGTAACATCTGTTCAGCCTGTCAGAATCTTCAAGATCTCAGAAAATGAAGGTTAGCATCCCTCAGGGCATGTACTCATAGCCAGATATACACAAGAAAATAAGTGTTATGAATGCTGTGTTTGTTGCGGTATGAAGGTAAAAAAAAAATCAAAGTCAATACCTTATAAGATTCAGTTTGACCTTCAGTTATCTCTTAACCCAGAGGTGCCAGACTTGCTGAGAATCTGTTGATGGATGAGGATGGAGAGTTTTATTTGTTTGTTTTATTTAAAAAAAATACTCAGATCTCCCAAAGACAGGGCAATAAAAACTAATATGGTTTTAGCAGCATTGTTGTCATAGGCTATAGTACTGTGTTGTAAAATAAAACATAGAAATTAGGCAGAACAGCGCAATGCATATGCTGACGTGCTTCCCAGTGTCAGTCACATCCAATTCAATCAGATGGACAATAAATGAAGAGTTCAGATGCAAAAGCCTCTAAATGCCATTTGAAATTTTCTTCTTTAATGATGATTTTTGATCAAACTTGTATATTTAAGTTCAGTAATTTCACTTAAATAACAATTAATAGGTAATTATCATTGCCATTTAAGTGAAATCACTGAACTTAAACATACAAGCTTGATAAAAATCATCATTAAAGAAGAAAATTTCAAATGGCATTTAGAGGCTTTTGCATCTGAACTCTTCAAATATTGTGTTAGGTTTTAGGGATGCTCCGATACCATATTTTTCAGAACCGATCCGAACCGATAGCAAAAAATCTGAGTATCGACCGATAGCGATCCGATACCTACAGTTTTTTTTAATCAAGTAGAATTTCTATGATAACTCTGATAATCACTCTTGTGTGTGTTAAACACAATCTACTTAATACAGACAACTTCATTATAAAGATAAACAACAAATCCAAAAAATATATGATCATAATCAATGACGAAAATGCTATTATTAACTAGATTAGGATAATACACATTGCTCTTTGTCTTGTTGTAAAATACATTCATGAAAAACAAGATAACAAAAATCAAAAAGATAAATTATTTTTTAGATATAGCCAAGGCTACTATAAAATTGAGACAACATGTTTAAAATGTATAGCCCATCTGTTTAATGAGACAGCAACATATGATAGGACAGAACAAGAAAGGCTATTAATAATCTGTTATTGCGTCACTGCATTATGATATGAAAGGCTCCAATACAGCGCGGCACACTGCGCTTATGTGCATCCCGAGCGCAGAATGATGTTACAGCGTGCAGCGTGTCAAGTCCGCATTGAAAACTTCAAAGCACAAAGGAAATACATATTGATGGACAGTGTATTATACAGTATCTATCTATGCAATCGTTTATTGAGACTTTTCTTTTAACCATTTTAAATGTCAGTGACTGTGCACGTGAAGAACAATGATAGACTAGTGTTCTGAATCTACTCTTGGGTTGTGATCTAACCGACAGTGTCCGACACCCAGTAGAGAGTAACATGATTAAGTTACAGCAATAAAGTCCAGCAAGATAAAGTTGCTTTATGCGAAACTATCTTCTGAGACTTAGACCTTTATCTACAGATCAAGTATAATACTATTAACATTGAATCATCTTGAAGATAGTTGGAGAATGACTGACAGCTGCTTTTTACGTGATCTTGAATTTTATTGACCTAAATATTAATTTCTTTCTCGCATAATGGCTTCAGAACACTTATAATAGAGTGCACGAAAACTTTATGGTACTTTAGAATGTTTCTGTACATTTTGTGGGGCTTAACAAGAACACATAATAGTATATGCACAATATCGGATTTGGATCGGCCTCGTCTGATTGATACCCGATCCGGCAAAAATTGCAATATTGGAGCCGATACCGATCCTGAGTATCGGATTGGCGCATCCCTATTAGGTTTTTGTTAAAGGTATTCAAACACTCTGAAATGTTTTGGAAATCCCCTTGGACACTGCTTGGATTGCAGAATCCCCGGTAGAGCTGGATCATGTCAGCTGAGCAGAAAACTGACCCCCTGGTCCCTTCTTCAATTCCCAGCAGGCTGCTTTTGCTGCTCTACAGAGGCCTGAGTGCATTCTTCTGTTCTCCCAGAGTACACATTCCCTCTGGTACATTAGTGCTGTCTAATTACAAATACAAGAAGTCCAATAAATACAAGATGTCAAATAAACTGTTATTGATTCTGGAGCCCATTAGAAGTTTGTGTATTTGCAGTTAAACAGCTCATGCTCAATATGTGGAAGCTCATTGTTCTAGAAAACACTTAAGATTGAAAAATTTCCATTAGACACGCTCTTGCCATGGTTTTTAATTAAGTATGACTGGGCTTTTGAGAACATTTTTCTTCGGTGGCCTATATGATTCTTTCCTCTATAATTATTTTAATGCAATCTGATTTAATTGTTAGAAAAGCACTTAATTTTCTTACTTGTACTTGCTTATGTGCTCTGGCTTAAATATTACAAATCAGTGTGATTAAGTAATTAAGAACTTGTTTTCGATCCAAAAATTGTAGAAGTACACATCTGTTAGAAATGCAGTGCACTTGTTAAAATAGCTTGTCAGACTTCAGGCTATAATCATTAGTGTAAATGAGACATATTTCTGATTTTTAGGCCATATATGAGAAGTAATAATTTGCTCTGTAGATTATTGATGCTATGCAGCTCAAATGTTGGCAGTAATAGAATTAGAAGTTGATTTGAATCTAAGAGACTTTTTCTCTTGTGTCCTTGTGATGACAGGAATTTAATTGCATTGTTCCTTATTAAAAGTAATTGTTCCTTTTGTTTGCAATGGTTAAAGGAGCATTTCACCCATTTCAATATTAATCTTATTGAAGGTGCTTTCATTTTGTATTTGTTCATTTTACTATTAAAATGTTTAAATGTTCGCCGGTTCCCG